CCACATGACTGAGGCTCTATCTCCTCCGCACGTGTGGAGGTGCAGGGCCCCAAGATGGCTGCCTGGCCGCGAGGCCAGAGTCCTGTATGTCACTTCCGCGCCGGTGAGAAGGGCGGGCCCAGTAGCCAATGAGGCTGCGGGGCGGGTCACCAGCTTGATAGGCGCTCAAGTTATCCAATGGTGGCTACGTGCCAGGGCGCCTACAAACCAACGTCACGCCGAGTTGCTGAGCGCCGGCAGGCGGGGCCCAGGCGGCCAAGCCAATGCGATGGCTGGGGCGGGGTCGGGCGCTCTATAAGTTGTCGATAGGCGGGCACTCCGCCCTAGTTTCTAAGGATCATGTCTGCGAGTCAAGATCCCCGGTAAGGAAGGCACTTGCTCCAGACTGGGGCTACTTACCCTGCCGTTCCCCTCCGAGGGCCCCGCGGCGGGTGTGGGGAGAGCGGAGGCCCACAGGGCTGCGGGGGAACCAAGCCAGGAAGCCGGTCCTGGGGGGGACGCGGCGGGCCCCGGCGGAGACGAACACAGCCTGGCTTTGCGAGCCCGGAGCGCGAGGCTGGTTAGGCCTCGGCTGGAGACGGTGCCCGGAGCCCCGGCGCCGAGGGCCTCAGGAGGTCGCGCCCCAGCGTGGGGAAGGGAGGTGGCCGCCGGCCCGGTGGCCTCTGCCGGAGGGAGGGCCTGCGCGCGCCGGATTCCGCAGGATTCTGGCGGAACCACTCGCCGGGGGGGTTGAGGGGGGCCTGGGTCCTCACGTCCAGTCGGGGCGTCGCGTTGAGAGAAGGTCGGGGGAGAAAAAGCCGGCCGTTCGGGGTGCTGGCCTTCTTGACGGCCAGGATGGAGCCCAAGCCCGAAGAGCAGCCGCGGGAGGCGCCAGCCCACCCGGCCCCGGGCGGGCGGGTCCATTTTGCCGCACAAGCCGGGCAATTGGCAAACTGCGGATGGGCAGGTCCACTTTCCTTCGGGGGTGATCGCCCCGAGGTATGGGGAGGGCGAGGCCATTTCGCGCAGGGGGCGGGCGGTGTGTGGGTTGTTCCATGGTGGGGTGGTTACGCCGCCGGGTGGTCGAGGGAGTGAGCACATGGCGGCCCGATGTCCTCCCCTCCCCCAGCCCGCTTCGCCTTTAAGTGTTGTGCAACCTCCCCACGAGCTAGCTCGGCTGGGGCTCATTGTGCGCGAGGCCGCCACCGCCCGCGGCCTCCCACATCCGGGCACCGCGAGGGGGGGGGGAGATGGGCTGCAGGGGGTGGGGGAGGGCGCCAACGCAGTGACGTGGGGGGAAGGGGATGTCCTCCAGATTCTGGGAGGCGGAGGGCGGGACTTCCGGATCGCCGGGGCGGTGATGGGAGGTGCCCTCGCTCGGCCTCGGAGCAGCGTGGCCTAAGGCACGTGGGCCGGCGGCAAACACCATCTCCGGGCCTCCAGATTTTTCTAGGCGAGTTACTCCATCTTGTCGGAATGGCATGACCTGAGCCGCTCCTGGGAAGGGCCAAAGGCCTGATTCAGTTACAAAAGTAACTGCTATGTTTCTAGTAACTACTAGGGGTTGGGTTAGGGAGTGGAGATGGCATCATGTAAGGTGGGTTGCTGGTGAGAAGAGCCGGCTATCAAGATTTGTATCATGCCTCAGTCTGCATACTCATTTTAAACAACAGATCCAGAGACAATGGCCCCGACGGAATGGAGCCTGAGGGCGTCATCGAGGTGAGAAGAGAGCCCCATCACCATTATCCCATGTTACTGGCAGTGTCCCCTAGTTTCTGGATTGGTGGTTCATTGTCTTAAGACTAATACCATACCCTAGGATTCATCTTAACTGAAGTAATTAATCTCTATTCACTGGGAGTCTTCACTTTTGTATATAATTTGTTTACAATGTTTGTGTCCCTGAGAGTATATGTGAAATATTCAAATTGAGTCCTGCCATCCCTTCTAGAACCACCAGCCCCACGGTTTTCGAGTGACTGGTCCCTAGAGTGATTTCCTAGGCAATGTAGAGTCCTCTGGCTTCCCTGCGGGAGGGGAGGAGGTTTTGAGGGCAGGCATAAGGCCCTATTTGCTCCATTGTGTGAGCCCTGTTTCTACTTTAATTTCTTTGCATCCTACAGAGCAACTGGAATGAGATCGTTGACAGCTTTGATGACATGAACCTCTCAGAGTCCCTCCTCCGTGGCATCTACGCCTATGGTTTTGAGAAGCCCTCTGCCATCCAGCAGCGAGCCATTCTTCCTTGTATCAAGGGTAAGATCTCGGCTCCAAAACAAGCTCTGAACTGCCCCCAGGTAGAGTTGCACCTGTTTTGGTGGTGCTTGTCTCACATTAGCCAGGGACAAAATAACTCCTTTATTTATAGTATTTTGGCCAGTTCATAACTTCCTCTTTGCAGCTATATTTCTACTCTATTTCATGAGTTAGTGACCAGATCTGTTCCCATTAAGGTTCTGGTTGTGATAGTGAAGTCTGAAGTGCTTTGTGCCTGGCACGTAACTCTACTAGGTGCTTATTGATAGTGTTTTGCAAGGTCTTGAAGGTCTCATGACCCCAAGTGTGTGCTCTCTACCATACCGAGTCTTCCTCCTGATTTCAGGTTATGATGTGATCGCTCAAGCCCAATCTGGGACAGGAAAAACAGCCACTTTTGCCATTTCGATTCTGCAACAGATTGAATTAGACCTAAAGGCCACTCAGGCCTTGGTCCTGGCACCTACTAGAGAATTGGCGCAGCAGGTGAGTGTGTGGCTTATTTCTCCTCCCCTGAAAGACTGATTTAGAATAATTGGCACAACCCAAAAACTGAGGATGCTCCCCAACCACCACCACCACCTTGCAAGAACTGCGGTATCTACCCAAACACAATAAACATCACTCCTCCTCGCATTTCCTGAGTCAAATGGGAAGCTTCTGGGTGGAGCCTGGCTGGCTGAGCAAGTCTGGCAGCTGTTTTATGGACAAACCCCCTGGCAATGGGCAAGGAGACACCTGATTGGTGGTGTTGGTCTTATATCAGTCAGGGGCAAAGCAGACGTACAGTCCTTAGTTCATCCTAGCTTGATGCCTGTGTCGGTGGCCAGAGCTGGTTCATGCCTGAGGCACATAAAATAATTCTAGGTCTTGGAGGGGGAAAGATCAGAAACACTGGTCTCATAATAAGTAGATTATTATTTAACTAATAATGATAAGTTTGGGATGAGGCTTAGGAGGGATGTTTTAAAGTTTGAAGCTGTGATTGCTCTAGTAACTTATAGATAACAGTAAGTATGTATTACGCATAGTTTTTGTGGCATGGATATGTTATTTGCACATAAAACTGGGTGCTATGAGAATAATACGTGTGTCGCTATTGGTTTTCCGCTTTCCGAAGATTGGATGAGGGTCTAGCGTGGTAACGGAATTATTTCAGAGGGCAGTTACTGTGAATCATGTATTCTCAGGAGCCAGAATGTTCAAATCCTGAGTCTGCCATTTAACTGTCAGTGTGATCTTAGATGCATTTAACCTGCCTGTTTCTCGCCTGAAAAGTGAGTTTTAATAATAGTGTGTATAAATTGGGGGAAAAACAAACCATGAGAAGCACTTAAAATGGGGCCTGGCACAGTTGTAGCTAATAATATGAGCATCTGGTTTTTTCTGGATTCAGATACAGAAAGTAGTCATGGCTTTAGGAGATTACATGGGTGCCTCCTGCCATGCCTGCATTGGGGGTACCAACGTGCGTGCAGAGGTGCAGAAGCTACAGATGGAAGCTCCCCATATCATCGTGGGCACCCCAGGACGTGTGTTTGACATGCTTAATCGAAGATACCTGTGTGAGTATCTTAATCTTCTGGTCCTCTGGCTCACTTGCCTCTTCTGCATGCTTTCCCAGTCTTCCCACTGGCCGCAGTCTTGTTGCCAATGAAGCTCATTTCCCCGGAAAGAGTTGCTCTGTGATGAACCCCATGCGTGTCATCTGAGCCTGGCTTCCCTGTCTCAGCCCGGCTAGTGTTCTACTTCCCAGGGCTAGTGTCTGGCCTGGCAAAGGATCAAAATTTGAATTCTGAGAGCAGACCACCTATCCATTTCTGGTTCTTTATTGGGAAAGTTAAGCATATCTCCCTGATTACCATTTGTCTTCTTCCCCCTCTCCTGCTCCTTAGCTCCCAAATACATCAAGATGTTTGTACTGGATGAAGCTGATGAAATGTTAAGCCGTGGGTTCAAGGACCAGATCTACGACATATTCCAAAAGCTCAACAGCAACACCCAGGTGAGAAACAGTCTTGCCTTTATGGCTGATCCTCTTTAGATTGGAGTTGGAGTGATAGAATTAAGAGAGGTGCCAGAGAATTCTCGTCTCCATCCTTTTTATGCACTAGCTTGTTTTAGGTGGCAATGGAGTATCCTATCCTAGGCTTACTATTTATTTTCCCCCCCTTAGGTGGTATTGCTGTCTGCTACAATGCCTTCTGATGTGCTTGAGGTGACCAAGAAGTTCATGAGGGACCCCATTCGCATTCTCGTCAAGAAGGAAGAGTTGACTCTGGAGGGTATCCGCCAATTCTACATCAATGTGGAGAGAGAGGTGGGGCCCAGTGCAGGAGGCGGACCTGGTAGTAAGTTGTTGGGTGTAGCTCCCTGACTGATTTTTCTTCCCCAACTTCACCCCCAGGAGTGGAAGCTGGACACGTTGTGTGACTTATACGAAACCCTCACCATCACCCAGGCAGTCATTTTCATCAACACCCGAAGAAAGGTTGATTGGCTCACTGAGAAGATGCACGCCCGAGACTTCACTGTCTCTGCCATGGTGAGGTCCCCCTTGTTAACCAACAGTGTGTCAGGCCACGTAGGCCAGCTTTTAGGACCCATGTGCCAACACTCTTCTTCCCTGTTCTAGCACGGGGATATGGACCAAAAGGAACGAGATGTGATCATGAGGGAGTTCCGCTCTGGCTCGAGCAGAGTGTTGATCACCACTGACCTGCTGGTGAGTGCGAGGGGGTTTATACAAAGACAGAAGGGAGAACCAAGGTGATTCCCTCTCCAAGGGGACTCACAGTGCCCCTCTTCAGGAAAGTAGCAACTTGGAATAAAATCTGGCATGCCTCAGGTTCTCGGGGAGAAGGTGATACGTCATTTCCTTTGCCTCTGGCTGCCTACATGTATACTCAGGTTCCTTCTGGGTAGTTTACACACACTCCTCGCATGCTGAAGCTGTCCTCTTTTCTTGCCGTAGGCCAGAGGCATTGATGTGCAGCAGGTTTCTCTAGTCATCAACTATGACCTTCCCACCAACAGGGAAAACTATATCCACAGGTGAGTGCATTTACCCAGCCCCCCTGCCCAATCCCCACTGGACTGGAAACTTCCCTGTGTGCCGGGTCCTAAGGTGTCCTTCTTTTCCAGAATCGGTCGTGGTGGACGTTTTGGCCGTAAGGGTGTGGCTATTAACATGGTGACAGAAGAAGACAAGAGGACTCTTCGAGACATCGAGACCTTCTACAACACCTCCATTGAGGAGATGCCCCTCAATGTTGCTGACCTCATCTGAGAGGGGCTGGCCTGCTACCTCATCCCGGCCAGGGTTCTCAGTCCTTGGCAGGCTGAGGAGGAGCAGGAGGGGGGAGGGAAGGGAGCCAAGGGATGGACATCTTGTCAATTTTTTTCTTTTTTTTTTCCCTTTGAATAAATGTCACTTTTTGAGGCAAAGAAGGAACCGTGAACAATTTAGATACCCTTTTCTTTGGGGTAGGCTCATGCCCCAGGCGCCGTCTCTTCTCCCCAAAACACTAATCCACTTCCCTAACGTAGTCAACCTCCAAACCCGACTCCCTGCTCCAGCCAAATTCCTCTGAAAATGATTCTTCAAGGGGGCTGTGTCACTAAACCTCATTTACTGGACCAAATCTGGAGGGAGAACCCTTGAATTAGGTGGCCCAGGGGATTGTCCCCATGTGGGGGGGAGCAGGGGAGAAAAAATAGCCATTTTTACATTGTTTTGTATAGTATTTATTGATTCAGGAAACAAAATTCTGAATAAAATTACTTGGAAACTGCCTGTTTGGGCTTCTCATTTCTTCCCTTTCCCACCTGCTATGGGGTATATATCCCTCTCCCCCACCCCCAGCTGATATTTTACCCTTCTGTTATAATAGTCATTTAACAGTGTGACCCTTGTGTAGGGTTGGGCAATCCCCATCACAAGTGCCTCACATGTCTCCACCAAGAGGAAGTGACGGGTGGAGGGGAAGTGGGATTGGTAACTTGGTTTTTACGTCGAATGTTTCCTGGGGAACTTTGGGAACCAGAGGGGCTGCCTTTTGACTGGTTCTGTAGTAATTTGCCAGAACGGTTGTGTTTTGTTGAGGTGACTAATGGGTCCCCAAGGATCAATGCTTAACTCACTCTCCCCACATGATGGTCTCGACTCTTGACAACTCCCACTTGGGTGAAGCCAGGGCCAATCATCTGACAAAAACTTGATGACTAAGTGGTGGCTGGGGCTGAGGTCCCTGAGTCAGGTTGTGGGGCTGGGTTAGCTTAGTTACAGGAAGTTAAGACTTTCATTTCCTCCTTTTCCAAAAGGAGGCAGGGGATAGGGTAGACTGGGTACGCAGCCCATACACTACCAAGAGCTCCGGAGGCTCCGCCATGAAGTTTGCTTTGCTTTTCCTGGGGGCTGTGCTGGGACTAGCAGGTAAGGAAAAGCGTGGGGGGTGGGGTGGGGGTGAGAGCCCCCCAGGAAGGACCCTGTCCCTGGGTTGCTAAACACTCTTTCTGCTGAAAGCCCAGGGGACTGGGAATGACTGCCCTCGTAAGAAATCGGCCACTCTGGTACCATCCTTCACGGTGACACCTACTGCTACGGAAAGCACAACAAGCCATGGGACCACCAGCCACAGAACTACCAAGAGCCACAGCACCACCACCACAGGCACCAGCCATGGACCCACAACAACCACTCACAATCCTGTCACCACGACAAGCCTTAGAAATACCACGGTTCATCCAACAAGCAACAGCACTGCCACCAGCCCAGGACCCTTCACCAGCAACAGCACTGCCACCAGCCCAGGACCCTTCACCAGCAACAGCACTGCCACCAGCCCAGGACCCTTCACCAGCAACAGCACTGCCACCAGCCCAGGACCCTTCACCAGTTCCCCCCACCCAGGACCACCTCCACCCTCTCCCAGTCCCAGCCCAGGCTCCAAGGCAGCTGTAGGAGACTACATTTGGACTAATGGCTCCCTGCCCTGTGTCCATCTCCAAGCCCAGATTCAGATTCGAATTCTGTACCCAACCCAAGGTGGAAGAAAGGTAAAGCTAAAAGGGATAATCGGGGGATAAGACTGGTTCAGAAGGGAAGAAGGAAGAGGAGAGGAGACCACTATAGGGGGAGGTTGAAAGAAAGGTATTTTGGATGGCACAGCTGTGTAGCCTTATGACCCTCTTATCTTTAACTTCCACAGGCCTGGGGCATCTCTGTACTGAACCCTAACAAAACCTCGCCCCAGGGAGGCTGTGAGGGTGCCCATCCCCACCTGCTTCTTTCATTCCCCTATGGACAGCTCATCTTTGGATTCAAGCAGGTACCTCACCCCTCCTCCCTCACTCACTCTCCGAGTGTCCTTTCCCTATTAATCCCTGCCACATCCCTCTGTGGACATGAACATCACTCCCTATGACCCTGAGCTTTCCTGGTCACCTCTGCAGGAACCACTGCAGAGCACTGTCTACCTGAACTCTGTGGCTATGGAGTACAATGTGTCCTTCCCGCAAGCAACGCGTGAGTTCACCTTCCCTCTCTCATCACTTGCACTAGATGTCTGGACTCCTGAAGGGACCTAAGCTGGGGGTTGGGGATGGGGATGTGGATATAGAGCTGATCCTTCCTCACTCTCTTAGAATGGACATTCTCAGTTCAAAATTCATCCCTTCGAGAACTCCAAGCCCCGTTGGGCCAGAGCTTCAGCTGCAGAAATGCAAGCATCATCCTTTCACCTGCTGTCCACCTCGACCTGCTCTTCCTGAAGCTACAAGCTACTCACCTACCCTCTACAGGAGCCTTTGGACCAAGTAAGGCTTAACTTCTTCCCTTCTAGAACTCTCCCACTGCACTGAAAGCCCCTACTCCAGGCTACAGCCCTCCCTTCCTTTACATACCCATTCATTTACTGCTGTCATCTAGGCGAGTTTCTCACCAACTACCTACGTACTCTAACATCCCCCATGTTCCTTCCTCCCACCTTTATCCCACCACCACCATTGTGATGCTTGCCCGTCTTTCTACCAGGTTTTTCTTGCCCCAATGACCAATCCACGTGGCTGCCTCTTATCATCGGCCTGATCGCCCTCGGCCTCCTCGCCTTGGTGCTTGTTATCCTTTGCATCTCTCGGAGACGTCCACCCGCCTACCAGCCCCTCTGAACCACTCAGCTGCCTCCGAGACAAAGTTATCTTCCTTCCCTCTGTCTTGAAGAACAAAATCAAAGATAATGCAACTGGGAAAACTGAAGGGAGGTGTTTTTATTAAGTATGACATTCCCTCTCTCCCTTCCCCAATGGGAGAATAATAAAGCCTACTCAAATCTATCTTTGGTTTTCCTTGTCCTTCCTGCCAGGATTAAAAGCCATGAGTTTCTTGCCATATGGTTTCTATGCGTTATATGGTTGCGTCTAAGGGTGCTGGTGAGGAGGGATGAAAATGTCAATGTGTGACAAATACCCTCATGGGTTCCTCCCCCAAAGCCTGGTGTAGCTGGTGTCGAATCTGCTCACCTCCCTTCCTCATTCTGGGCCCTTGGCTGCGCCAGCTCCTCCTCTCCAATCCAGTAGAGTCACCCATCCTGGAGGCATTCTTCCCGACCCTTACATGCAATTACAGGTGAAGCAGGCAGCAATAGCAATGAGTGTGGGAGGCAAGGTCACACCTGTGTCATTTTGTTTCCAAAGGATGGGCTAGTGGCTCCTTAGCAACAAGAATGCCTGCCCCACCCACTGTGTTGATTAAACCCTTACTGCACCTAGGATGCTTCCTCGCCTGCAAAGGGTTTCATCAACAATGGGAGGGAGCAGTGGGCACTGCAACCTCCACATCCGATTCCCTCTGTGCTCCTGGGAACCTCCAGCCTGGGCCGCCCAGGGAGCCAGCCCTGATGTTCCAAATGGTGTTGGGTGGTAGCCAGAGGGCAGCCTGTGTCCACATTCTACAAAAGGGCTTGCCAGACAGCCTGCACCATCACCGAGTGCCACTCTCTCTCCAGTACAATTGCTGAGGGCCAGAATGGGACCCTGCAAGTTGTTGGAGGCCTTGACGCAACAGAAAGTAGCCCCTGGGACCTAGAGACCCACCACCCCATTGTGGGCAGCCCCCATGTGACAGGGTCCCAAGAGCCCCACCACTCCTCACAGACATCCCCTACGGCCGGGCAGACTGTGCCATCAGAACAAGATAGTGTGGTGCTAGCGGCAGAGCATGAAGGCCAGTCCCACCGCCGGGATGGCCAGGGTTAGTGTCCCAGTGCTGGGGGGCAGAGGGCATCACTCCCGCCAGGTAGTCCAGGTGTCCTTTCCCGGGCACGAGCTGCTGGGCCCATTTAGCCCTGTTAAGCCCTTCCTTCCTCAGAGCGAGGTCACAGGGGATGGAGGGGACGCAGGGCCCTGCGTGTGCTTCAGGGAACCCGCCGGGGCTGGGCTCCGCAGGGGGCAGCAGTGCCATTCCCTGAAAATGGCCTCGTCTTCTCCACCTCCTCCTCTTCTGCTTCGCTGTCCCGGGGGAGCAGTCGCTGGCGCGCCCATTCGCCAACCCCGGGGTTAAAGAAAGGAGGGAGAAGCGGAGCCCTGCCCGCACCGCGAGTCCGCAAACGGCTTCCTGGTGCAGGCTCTCCTGCTCCCGCCAGTGCCATTCTCACTGGAGACGCCGAGAGAACAAAAGTTAGAGAGGCACAGCGCCCCCACCCAACGCCATTTTGGAGACTCAGCTCCTCTCTCAATTTTGAACAGTCAAGTCCGCGGGGAGGAGATAAGATGGCGCCGAGCGGGAGAAGCGGAGAAAAGCAGGAAGAGAAATCTTGCTTCCAAACTGGAAGGGTAAACAAAGGCGCAAGACAATGAAGTGCGCAGGCGTACAGCGTTAGCCTGCGTTAACATTCAAACAGCAGGGAGGGGGGCCTGAAACGTGGTCTCGGGACGGGACCTATTTCACGCTGAGAAAGAGCGGGGCGCAGGGGCGGGCCAGCTCGGTCCCGGAAGACAGGGGGCGGGGTTTCAGAGCGCGCATGCGCACCGGAGGCCCATGAGGCTCGGAAGGAACTGGCGGAAACGATCTTTACAATATGGCGGCCGAAGCTGACGGGCTGCTCAAACGGGTGCTGGTGCCGCTTCTCTTACCTGAGAAATGCTACGACCAATTTTTCGTCCAGTGGGATTTGCTTCACAGTGAGTTTTATTTGGCATCTGGTCAAAGTTCTGCTGGAGCGCCAAAGTGGGGCGTGACCGCGGACTTAAGTGATGGCGGTGAATACTGCATGGCTTTGCTGGGCGGAAATTACTTCTGATAGGGGCGGAAGTGTCTCGGACTCCGTAGAGAGAGTGCGCCATTTTGGGGTGAAGGGGGAATCGCCGGGTGGAAGTAATTCTCTGTGAAGTTTATGCTTGAGAAAACGGAAAGCCAAAAGACTCAAATTTTATAAAACGAAGTTAAAATATAATCCAGTAGTTCCAACCTTCAGTTGATCGCTATACCTTCAGGAGCAAGGCTGGATTTGATTGCAGGCCTCATGAATCCAGGCCTTAAGCGTCACCCCCTCCCCCAAAGCTTTCTGCCATCCCGATGATGCTTTCCTTCCAGCCCCCACGCTTGTCGATGGTCTAATTTTGGAATAACTTGACTTCCTTCAACTTTCTACGAGGCAGTTCCACAGCAAGGCCCGTCCGAGAACTCAGACACTTTGGGGAGCTTTCCCAGTCTGCCCCTCGGCTCGTGGCGCCCCACTGTGCTTCTGAAACACTTTGACCCGGGAGACTCTTGACACCCGCTGGGCCAAGCTCCTTGAGATGAAAACTCAAAGGCTGGAGAAAATGTGGGTGGCCCGGGCCCTGGAAGGGTAGGACTAGACAGCGGATTCAGGGGTGAAGAGTAAAGACGAGACCCAAGTGGGTCGCCCCTAGGCGCTCAGTGAAGGAGAATGAAGGAGCGGAGTACTCTTGGGCATTTGTTCAGCTTTATACAGGGAGAGCTTTTGAAGCAAGACCAAGGAGTTTATTTTATGTAATTCTCACCTGAGGACATGCATAGAGAGAGGAAGGAAGAGAGAAACACTGGTCAGTGTCCTTCAATATGCTCCCCGACTGGGGATCAAACCAGAAACCCAGCTCTGTGCACTGGCCTGAAATCAAATCAGCAACAACACTCAACCGCTGGCCAGATCCAGGAGCTTAGATGTAATCTTCAGGGAATGAAAAATTGGGTTGGAGGGAAAGAATGGTGAAAGCTGTTTTGGAAGTTACCTCATCTTAGCATGACATGATTTGGAGCAGTAAGGGCCGGCCTTTTTCCCCTGCCTCCAGACAACCCAAGGCTTCCTTGTGTGGGTATGTCCTAGTCTGAGGGAGCAGTGGCCGACCACAGTGCTTTACGTCTATAGGCTGTACTGTCTCCTGAAAACCCTGGTCTGGGTTCCGGAGATCTCTCTGCTTACCCCTTTTTCTCTTCGCAGTCCCCTGCCTGAAGATTCTCATCAGCAAAGGCCTGGGGCTGGGCATTGTAGCTGGGTCACTTCTGGGTATGTGTTTCATCTTCCTTTTCCTGCCGTTGGGTGGATGGAGATTGAACTGGGTGGATCCCTTAACCAGAAGTGGGATTAACATGCTTCTCAATAGCTGTTTTGTTGTGCTTCCAAGGCTTATTAGCTCTTCAACTATATACCCTCTCATCCTTTCTTAGTAAAACTGCCTCAGGTGCTTAAAATCCTTGGAGCCCAGAGTGCGGAAGGGCTGAGCCTGCAGTCAGTAATGCTGGAACTCCTGGCGTTGACTGGGACCATGGTCTACAGCATTGTCAACAACTTCCCCTTCAGGTGAGGCGTCTGCCCTTTATTCCCAAGGGTAAATTCCCACCACTCTAGTGGGGTCAGGGTGAGGGAGGTCAAAGGGCAGGGAAAGCTTAAGCCCTTTTGGAAATATCATCGCCTATGGAGCTGATGAGAGGAGGTGAGCTCTAGATTCAGTGAGTCAGTCGGAGACGGTGGTGGCGGTGCCGGGAGGCAGGAGGCAGGGCCCAGCAGGGCTGTGGAGGGCAGGGAGTAATCAGATAACTGTGTCCCCAGATGGATGGGCTATGGAGGCTTTTCCTGCCTCTTTCCAGGCCCGCCTTTCTTCCTTCCAACTCTTGACTCTGCAGCTCTTGGGGTGAAGCACTATTCCTGATGCTCCAGACAATCACCATCTGCTTCCTGGTCCTGCATTACCGAGGACAAACTGTGACAGGTGCTGGGGATTTACCCGAGAGCCTGCCGGCTGGAGCTCAGGCCTGGGGAAGCCGGAGGACTCCTGAGGTTGATGAGGACTCCTTGTCTGACTCCTAGGTGTGGCTTTCCTAGCGGGTTACGCTCTGGTCCTGCTGATACTGCTTTCTCCACTGACGCCCCTGGCTGTGATCACCATACTCCAGGCCTCCAATATGCCTTCTGTGGTGGTGGGGAAGGTGCGTACTGGGAGCAAGGAAAGAAATATTGAGCAGAATGGAAGCTGTGTGTGAGAATATTAGACTGAGGAGAATGGGGGAATCTGATGGGAACAAGGGAAGAATTCAGAAGATAGAGCAAAGGGTCTCATCTCCTGTTCTAGCTGCTCCAGGCAGCCACCAACTACCGCAATGGGCACACGGGCCAGCTCTCAGCCGTCACAGCCTTTTTGCTCTTTGGGGGCTCCCTGGCACGAATCTTCACCTCCATTCAGGTGAGTTCACCTTCTCCCCTCTGGGGGGCACTAAAACATCTTACCTCCCACCTGAGGGCTTAAAGCTGCCTGGTCTCGAACCTTTTGGGGGGCATTGGAGAGTGACCCTAGCTGTTCCTCACATTTAGGAAACCGGAGATCCCCTCATGGCTGGCACTTTTGTGGTCTCTTCCCTCTGTAACGGCCTCATTGCTGCCCAGCTCCTCTTCTACTGGAATGTGAAGGCACCTCACAAGAAGAAAAAGGAGTAGCGGGGCTGAACCGGCTGTTACCATCCATTCCATGTTTCTGTTCGTCCACCTAACCTCAGGGTCCGTCTGAGCCAGCCTGCCAGCGAGACGTTTAATCATTCCCCATTTCTCTGCAGATGCAGCTTTCTGAGCCAGAGATTGTTTCCATGGAAAGGCATAGAAGGTGGACCAGATTATCAGGCTGACATTTGATACTGATTGTGCACTGTCCTGTGTGTGCACTACCAATTAATTTAACCACTTGCTGAACTTTTTTCAGCAATTTCTAGCTGCTTACCTATTCTGGGCAAGTCTTGCCCTGCCCTCCCATCTCCTCACTTCCCTTTTGGCCTTAAGAGGACAGAGCCTGGACAGTGCCAGGGACGAAGGCGTGTGGCTGCCTCCCTCCCCAGCCTGGCTGGGACTGTCCCGGCCCCCAGAGCTGGGTGGGAGGCAGGGGAGGGGGATGGAGAATGACTCAGGCAGGGCCGCAGGGTGGGGTGAGGAGGTTCCTGCTCTGGCAGGTCCAGGCAAAAGGGAGTGGAGATGATGCTGGTTCCTGTTGAGGGGAACAGAGATGGGGCAATAAAGACGCAGAGACGTGGCTTAATTGTACAAAACCGTGTTTGTCCTACAAAAATATAAAAAAGTGTGTTGCTCCCTCGGGGGGGGGGGGGACCACAGGCCTCTAAACCGGTCAAATGTGCAAAAGAAGGGTTTGCAGTTGGAAGTGGGGGGATAGTTCTGGGTGAAAAAGAGGTTGGAGCCCTTCCTGGGAGGTCCATACCCATGCTTACTAGAGGTGGGCCAGCGGCATGGGGGCCCCTGAGCGGGGCGGGTGGTAGGAAGTAGGAGAGCCTGGGGGTGGGTAGGGATTATAAACGGGGAGCAGTTCCCCCTGGAGCCTAGGGTTACTCTGATGGAGGGAGCACGCTGAGGCCTCCGGTTTAGAGTGGGAAGAGCTGCAAAGAGAGAAATACAGGTTAGAGGGCTGTTCCAGGCAGGGTCCCGTGTGCCTGTGAGGGCAGGTTGGACCCATTCTGGGTAGACAAATGGAACCTACCCATCCCTGGCTATTGGGGCCCCACGAGGTACTTCAGTCCAGAACCAGACCCAAGGCTAGCTCAGAGGCAGGCAGCCCTGTTGGGGCAGGCTCACCAGCGAGCTTGCGTGCTGTGCGCCCGTTTTCCTCTCTCGGGGCAGCAGGCCAGAAAGGGGCAGGATTGGGATTAGCCACTCCTTGCCCTGGGGGCTGAGAGGAAGTCAGGTCACATCAGGGCCAGAAGCGGAGGTGGGGAGTGGGGGGAGATGGAGAGGCAATGGCAGGAAGGTAACAGGAACAAGATCAACATCTAGGGGCCAGTCGTCTGCCCCCTTCGACCCCCGCTGCAGGGCCCCGCCAGGCTGATGGGAAAGCCCTCCAGGGAAACCCTGGGCCACAGAACCCTCCCCAAAGAGCTGGGAGTGCTGGTGATGGTGCTGCTCAAACCCTAACGGCCGTCCCTAACCCCAAAGGGGTGACCTCCGCTTGGGTGGGTTCAGGCCCGTATCAGCCAGGCCCTCTGATCCGTGCCCCATCTAGGCTCGGAGGGAGGACACAGCATCTCCTTCCTCACCCCCACTCCCAGCCACTTACATGAAACCACGAGGCAAGTAGGATGTCGAGTAGTTGGGGGGCTGGTACCCAAAGCCTCTGCTCCCATGGGTGGTGGCGTATCCTGGCCCCCAGAGAGCCACACCGCCGCTTCCCTGGCAGAAATGGGGCAGCCCAGCTCCCGCGCTCTTCGTCTTGCGCCGGGGCCGGTACTTGTAATCGGGGTAGTCGCGCAGGTGTCGGGCCCGCAGCCGCTTGGCCTCCTCCACGAAGGGCCGCTTCTCGTCCTCGCCCAGCAGCTTCCACTGCGCGCCCAGGCGCTTGGAGATCTCCGAGTTGTGCATCTTCGGGTTTTGCTGCGCCATCTGGCGGCGCTGAGCGGAGCTCCACACCATGAACGCGTTCATGGGTCGCTTCACCTTCTCCAAGGGAAGGCCCCCGGAGACCACGGGGCTCTCAGCGTCCTCCCGCTCCCGGGAGCCCGAGGAGGAGGAGGAGGCAGGGGCCGTGGGAGTGGGAGGTTCCAGGCTCCAAGCCTGGTCTTGTGCGAGGCCGGGTTGCGCCATGGGGATGGAGGGAAGCCTTAAAGAGGGCGCCTACACGCCCTCTCCTCGAAAGCGAAACGTTGGTCTCCAAACTGTGTCCTTAAAATGGAAGTGCCTTCCTAGTATGGAGTCCTTCTAGAGAATCTCGTCCCCAAGTTCAAGAGTCCTTATTCTGGAGCCCCCGCTCCCTACCGTTTTAATCCTGCACCCTGCAGGGGAGTGGAGTGCAAAATCTGTCCGTACAGCAGGTTGCTTTCTCCTTTCCTTGCTGCGGTGCAGTGCCAGACCCAGTCCCGCTCCTACCTCTAGCTACTCGGTCTTTGGTGGAGGCCGTCAGCTTCCTGCTCAGACGCTAGTATCGCAGCTGAGGCCGGGGCGCAGCCGGGTACCCCCGCACTCGCACCTGGCCTTGTGGGTGAGTCAGGCCCGAGAGGGAACAGCTTTTAACGACTGACTCCTCCCCACTCCCTCCCGGCAGGCCGCGCCTCCTCAGGAGCGCCGGCATCCCAGTCCTGGGCAGACAAGTATCCTGCTCTTCCCAGCCCCCAGCCCCTCAGGGCACCACGCCCCCTCCCCACCCAAGACCCAGAGTCTAGCCTTCCAGCCCCAGTAGCTCTAGGTCTTCCCCTCCCTTTTTAAGCTTTGGCAATTTAAAGTCAATTCCTTTGCACAATGGGAGCAAACACCCAAATCAAAAGCCCTCAGGGTCAGTTGTGCTAGGAAGAACTAGAATACCCCACACCCACCCCAAACCCTTTTCTTGTGCCCAGTGCCCCTCAAAACCGATCTGCCCCTGGGGCAAGAAAGTCAGGGCAGTTACTGGGAGGCAGGCCATTCTTGTTGCCTGAGTCATCCCAGCAGGTGCTTGGGTGGTGATTCAACACCACTCCAGGTGAGAAAACTTAAAACTCCCAACTCGGCCCCCAAACAAAGTTTCTCCACCACACGCTTATCCTCAAACTTCAGTCAGAGTCTGGAGGCAGGGATCTCTCCCCTGGGGTTGAGAGATTGGTGATATAAGATGCTGGGAGATAAAAAAAGGTCTGATTCCAGAGCAGGGAATGGGGGCTGGACATCTAGGTCTCACTCAGCCCAAGACTCAGCCCAAGCCCCAGGCCTCAGGTAATCCGATTAAGCAGTCTTGGCTCTTGGCTCCTAGCAGGAACAGTTCCAGCTTGGCCAGCCCTACCTAGCCAGCTGTGACTCAGGGTACAGGAGTGGCCCAGCTCCCTCCAGCAGCAAACTTGCGGGGAGGAGAGAAGCAGCAAGACACAAGCCACTCCTCACCCAGGAGGGTACCTGGGCCTAGGGAACCGAAGACTGCCCAGAATCCCCAAAGTAGACCATCTCTGGAACACGAGAGCCAGGTGCAGAGAAACAGAAGGCAAGGGCCGGGACCAGCTCAGTCTTAGGAAAACAGCGGACCAAACTGGCACAAGGAAGACACAAGAACCAGAGAGCTGTTTGGATTTTTTAATTCTCTTTTTAAATACTGTACAGTGAAAAATAAATACGCCTTCTCATCCACCAGATAAGGTTGGTCCCCCTTCCCCTGGGGGACCTTGTCACCCCTTCATACACACCCCTGGTTCTACTCCAAAACCTTCCCCATGCCTCCCACCCACTATACCCTTACTATCCCCGTCTTCCACAGTGATGAGGCCCCAGAAATCGGGGGTACAGGATGGTAGGAGGGATAGCAGGGGAACCCCCCTGAACTGTCAAATCTGGGTGGGTCAAGAAGCACCCCGCACCAACAGGCGGAGAATGGGGGTGTTCAGAGAGATTGGGGCATTAGAGGATAAAGGCACATCCAGTCTGATGGGGAAGGAGGCTCCCCTCACCCTGGGGTAGGGTGGACAAGAGGGAGGTGGGTATGACCCTGTTACACACCCTCCACTAGCTCCTGGAGGCTGGGGAGGGGACCCAAGCTTTTCTGCCACCCCCCTCCCCCCTAGATAAGAGCAGCTCCAGCGCAGGTCAGTCGGGCCTGTGAGGGCCATGGTGTTGGGCAGCAAGCGAGATGGAGAAGGGAGGGATGCAGGCTGGAGGTTTTATGAAACCCCATTCACCAAACTACCCAACTCCAGGGGAACAGAGAGCTCCCCATTCTCTGAGGGGCCCTTAGGAAGCTTGCTGACAGAGTCACCCTGAGGGGAAAGTGGGAAAGAATGGAGAGGAAGAAGTGGTCAGTAGAAATTCAGGTTACGACATTGTCTACCATCCTAGCCTGGCATCTGGTGACCCAGGGATTGGTCCTTAAACTAAGTCACTCTCATTGGGACCCATAAAATATGAACCAAACTTTGCTGGGAACTTCTTTCAAATTTTCCACTATTCTAAATATAGTCTAAATTCCACCAGACAGTCTTCTCTGCCATTTAGCAAGAGATTTCTTTGTACCCTAACTGGTTTTGCTCAGTGGATAGAGCATCAGTCTGTAGACTCAAGGGTCCCAGGTTTGATTCCGGTCAAGGGCATGTACCTTGGTTGCAGGCACATCCCCAGTAGGGGGTGTCCAGGAGGCTGCTGGTGTTTCTCATCGACCTTTCTAATTCTCTCCCTTTCCCTTCCTCTCTATAAAAGATAAATAAAATATACATATATTTTTAAAAAGATTTCTTTGTGAAATTTCTTGTGTCCCTTGCCCCTAAAGAACAAAGAAGGGGAGGAGAGTACATCTTGCTTGCCTACCTTCTTCTGTCCTGAAAGAGAGTCCTCTAAGGGTTTAGTGCGCTCCAGGGTTGGCCGCTGGCGGCTCTGAGACTCTGCTCGGGAGATATAGTCAGCCACAGTCACTGCGGAAGGCAGAGGACCGAGAGTTTCAGAAGGAACCCAGGTATCCAGCCCCTAGATACCCAATGAACCCCCGTCCCTGGTTATCATAGGGTAGGAGGCATCCCATTCTCTCAGCTCTAAGGAAGGATGCTGGTACCCCGTGTTAGCTGACCTGGTTGGCGATCTCCACTGACAGAACCATCAGTACGGTTACCGCGGTTACGGCGGCGGCGGCTCCTATTTCGTCGCTGAGGTTTGGATTCATCTTCTGTGAGACGGGAAAATTCAAATCATGCACCCAAACTCCCATCTCTCCGTTCTTGCCCAGCTCTACTTTTTAAACACCCCCTTACCCAGGCCATTTTCTGTCGTGCTGAGCCCATCAGACTCCAGGCCTCCGTCCATCACAGTCCTGTCTTCATCCGTGCGCCGGCGGCGGGAGCGGCGGCGCCTGGCACTCGCTGGGGGGGGCTCCCCAGGCTCTGAATCAATCGGAGGCTCTGGTTCCGAGGTGTCCAGGAGGCTGTAGGGATTACTGTCTGGATCCTTCAGCACTGGTTAGAAAAGGAAGAATTAGGAAGTCAGGTGCCCACTGACTTTCCCTTTGTCCTCCAGTCACCACCCAGCTGTCTGGCACTAGTACCTGAGCTAATAGACGAAGAGTTGTATCTCGAAGTAGGCCGGGGAGCAGGTGGAGGTCCCCTACCCCGGCCCCCCATTGGCCGCCTCCGGCTCTCTTCCCCCCGGGTCGGGGGATCTCCTGTCCCAGCTCGGAGAGGCTCTTCCCTCTTCTCAGACTCGGTCTCGGAAGCTGTAGATGGGTCTGAGCTGGGGCCTAAAGAACACAGGGAGCTTAATCAAGTCACTCCCCCCAATCCCAGGATCCATCACCGTCCCCAAACTGGAAGACTTCTCACTTCCCAGGCCCCCAGACCACTGTCACCTCCGTCACTCTTTCCACCCAGACCTCTGCCTCTCCTCACAAGCCCCGCTGTCGGCCCCCCTCTCCACAGCTTCCTTACCATAGGCAGGACCGCCCGTCCTCCGGCCCCGGCCCCGGCCCCCGTAGCTGCCCCCATAGGTCCGCGTGGTGTGCAGGGAGGAGGAGCTCTCATCCGTGGTGTATCCAGCTCTGTCACTGCCTCCGGTGCCCCTCCCGCTCCCAGGAGGGCGAAAGCCCAGCCCAATCTGCCGAAGCTGTTCATCAATTTGTAGCCTCTCTAAGCGAAGTTGCTCCACCTCCTGGTTGGGTAAAAAATGAAAGAAGATGTGGAAGAGGAAAAAGTACTAGATCAGTGAACAGTCTCCTTTCATGTTCTCTGCAACGACCATCCCTACGTAACTTTACTTTCAGGAATGTAAGAAGGAAGGCATTGGTTAAACAAAAAATATTATGAGATCCAACTCCACAGCCCCAAATTCCCACCCAGTGGTTTCTATATTCTACTCAGAGGGACAAACTGCGCACAACTCCTAACTTAATCCACCAGCAGTCTTCGCCCCCTTGCTAGACTCAGAGCTTCCTCTCCCAGGTTTCTAGCTTGTGTACCTGCAGGTAGGAGAGGTGATATTCCAGCAGAGCCTGAGCATTGCTGATATTCTCTCGAGTGCCAACAAATATGAAGGGAACCATTCCCTGGAGAATGGAGGGAAAGGCAGACGGATTAGGAGAGCCAACTGGAAGTATTAATTCTACCCTATCTCCCCTGGGAGCCCAACCAATGGGATCGTTGAGAGAGAGGGATGGAGGAAGGGAGGGAGGGAGGGAAGGAGAGAGACAGAAAGATGAATTTTGCTGTCCCACTTACTTATACATTCATTGGCCCAGAACCTTGGCATATGGGGATGACTCTTAACCAACTGAGCTACCTGGCCAGAGACCAACGTGATCTTTCTGGCTCTACATGGAGGGGACAACAAAATGCTCTACCCCCACTGGAAATCCTAGCACTCAGAGAACGGCTTTGTGAGCAATCCCATCTGCTTCTGGACACCAATCTCCAGGCATAGTTGTCCATACCTCCTCCCTGGGGTTCTTCTTGTCATTATCACCTTCTACTCGAACCCTCACCACACCAGATTTATCCACGATCTCCTGGATTACTTTTCCATTCTTTCCAATCACTTTGCCTGAATGGGTAAAGGACAATTTAGACCTTTTTTTTTAAGGAGAGAGTCAAAACAGTTAAGATAGTCATTCAGCTTCTATATGTAGATTTTATTATTCTACTGCATCTACTGTATCCTATTAAGTTTTTACAAGACAAAATATTACAATCCCTAGAAATCTGTTCTTCCATTTTTGTCATTCCTACTATAGATCATTCTGTCCTTGTGATACTAAAGTCCATAGGGAGGTGCCAAGCCCAGAATCACTTTAGAGAATTCCACTTCCGGCCCCCCACTGAATTCCCTTTTATATATACACACCCCCAACTCACCAACCAGGTTCCTAGGCACTTGCACAGAGTCCTCAGAAAACTCAAGATAGCTTCGGGCCTGTCGGCATGCCTCAGGAGTCTAAGAGGAGTGGGGAATCATTACTAAAACAGAGAACTTGGATCTCAAACAATAATCTTTCTGCCACTCTTTGTCTTTGAGAAAAGTAGCCACCAAAGTCAGAGAGGGAGCTCAACATGACTCCTGTTTCCTTTCTACTTCACCCTCTCCCCTCTGTATCCCTAAG